GAAAGAAAGAAAGAAAGAAAGAAAGAAAGAAAGAAAGAAAGAAAGAAAGAATCAAGACACACACGAACTAGACAGGGATATGGTGAATCCTAGCTTTAGTGATTGCTAGCTTACAGTCTATCTTGCTTTTGTCTGTTTCCTACTGGCTTTCTCACCCTTTCTGTATCATTTTGAAGCAAATGATACTTTATTTATTAACATATCGGTAATGAAACTCTGGAAGGTAAGAGTTATTTTAAAAATGTAACACTGAATTGCCATGGTAAAAATAATTTTTTGATACTATAAAGCAACCATTCTTTCAGAAATACTTTTACTTATTTCAAGAAATATGCTTATATGTGTATGTATAGTTTATATACATATATATATATATATATATTTTTTTTTTTCATTTTGAGCCAGAGCTGAAGTAAAGTGCATACTTAATTTATTTAAGTCTCTTAGTGTATGGCTTTCTCCACATGTGCCTTTATTTTTTATTTTCCTCATAATTTATTTATGAAGACATGAGTTCTTTCGTTCTTTGTAGAGTTTTCCATGGGCAGGATTTTGCAGACATAGCAGTGCATTAAAACAAGTCCCAGAGTCTTTGTGGCAAAGAAAAGGAAGGACTGAGAGAGGCGGAGATACAGAAGGAGGAAGGTGAAGTTGCAAACTCAGGAACTTGGAGTTTCTGCTTCATGCTGATCATGACCTCAGTGCCTACCCACTTCTTTTCTTACGGTGTGTGTTTCTTTTTGTGAAGGGGTTTCTCTGTGTAGCCTTGGCTATACTGGAATCGCTTTGTAGACCAGGCTGGCCTTGGACTCACAGAGATCCGCCTGCCTCTGCCTCCCTGAGTGCTGACCTACGTACTTCTTTATGCTGGTGGAAAACAGGCTGTTATTTATTTTTTTCTCACACAGTGTTCCTAGAATGCCCCTTCTGAGATATTTTGCTCATATAGGCCTTTCCACTTGGGGCAGAAGATCTGATTGGCCCTTCAGAAGTAAACTTCACAGCTGAGATTAATGAGGTTACTGTTTGGCAGAACTTAGATTAAGCAGCATGCGTGGGTGGATTATTAATTTACGTCAGAAGTGCAAGTAATGCTATTTATAATTATGGCAAATTGTTCTTGGTGTCTAACAGTATCTCTAAAGGTACAGTACATCTTGATCTCTGCTCCACCTGGGGAGTCAATGTACTTTACCAGGATCCTTATATTGCAGCAGGACACCACAGAGAACTGATAGACTCTCAAAGACAAATAACCAACCTTTCCTACAGCGAGGAAACTAAGGGGTTTTCTTGTCCATTATGCATTTCTGGTTTCCAGAGAGCTGTGATTTAACCTGAAAATGTGTTGATTTCATGTAGCGCTTGTTATTATTATTATTTGGTAAACAGAAGTTTTGGCATTGTAGGTACCCAGGGATATTATTAAAATACAATTTTCTTTGTATTTCAGAAATAACTTCTGTATGATTTATTTGTGTGTGTATGAGAGCTCATAAGGCACATATACATGTGTGTGTGTGTGATTCATTTGTTGACTCATTAAAAGGAATTTATTCACATGAACTCTTGCTATTTAGCATTTTAAAATAGATCAAGGCCACATGGATTTAGAAATAAAAGACACCTTTGTAGCTTTTAAGGAGTTTACAGATAACTGGGAAAATGAATGAGTAGATGAACAATTAATTACTCTTTGCCCTTCAGTCTTGAGGTGATCTCAGACTGCTGTGCAAACAGCGAAAGCCCAGCACTTAACCCCACAAGCAGTCAGGCTTTCTTGGGAGGTGCTGTCTGGTCTGTATTTTGAGGATGAGTTAAAGAATTGCTCCCATTACAGAGATGGGGTGGGCATATCTAGCAGAAGGGATAGCCAATCCAGAGGCACATGGCAGTCAGGACTTGCCTTTGTTAACGGCAGATGAGATTTTGGGGACCAGTGTGAAAAGAATGTAGCTTCTAGATGCTGCAGCAAGTTCTTGGTGTTCAGAGGAGTTGGGATGTGGCTCTTTGGGCCATGTAAGCATATTGGCATGGAGGATTAGCCATGCCAGCTAAATTCATGATCCTGTGGTAAAGTCCTATTGTCACTGAAGAATAGTTGTAATTCCTAAGAGTGAGCAGGCTTATTATTCATTTTTATTCACTGATAAATGCCAGTTAATATCATTAAACTTCACAGGAGCTAAGCTCCCAAATATACTGAGAACTTTTTGGACGAGAGGCAGTTATAAAGCACTAGATCTACCCTGGGTCTCTAAGAGTCTGTTAAGTAACTGTAACTCCCTCAGGCAGCTGGAGGACTGTTTAGATATTTTATGACATCATTTGAATACAAAATGATGCCCTAATTACCTGACTTTAACACATTCCCTGAAGTTACAAATTACTCAGTTTTTACATAATGCAGTGAAACTGAATAGCCTCAGAAGGAAGAGACCTTATAGGCCATTTAAATTAGTTCAGAAATTATCTCTCACTTGGGAGGCTCAAGCAATTGACCAAGTCATCTGTGTAGTCTTCAATGGTTCCATTCTTCATGCCCACAACGACTAGGTGAGTATCAAACTCGTTTTATTATTAATGTTAGCTTGTTTCAGTTTTCATCCATAAAAGGGAACAGAAAGGTTTTGTTTTAGAAGAAATTTCATTTTGGTTCTGTTTGAATGATGATAGTTTAGTGTGAAATGGTGATTTTTATGGATACAAGTCCATAATGTGAAATTTTTGTTTATGGCACGGTGAGTTATTTCGGTGCAGACTGAATACTTACTGTATTCAGTAAGTGGAAGGATCAGCCCATATAGTAGCTTATGCCATAAAGTACTAGAAATTGTAGTCAAAGTGATCATGGTTGATTGTAGGTGACCTTCTTGTCTTCAGGGTTGTCAAATATGAACTTGTTCCAAGCTTAGAAAGTAGCCCTAGAATATTCAAAATATTAAGGCCTTTTTCCTTCTTTCTAGACAGTATTTATGCTAAAACAATTGCATGTTTGTGGATAGTAAGATAAAATATTTTTTTCCACCAATTTCTGGAAGATACTATCTACTGAGCTTTACTGATGGTTTGATATTGATAACCTTTAATTGCTATTTTAGAATATGCTTATTAACGATTGCTCTTTTTGCCAGATAAGCATCATAAATTTATGATAGCATCAGCAATGGGTTACCTGATAAATTATTTTGTTGTGCAGTTACCTCTCGATTCTGTTACTTATTTTAAAACCACTCAGTGATTTTACATTTCTGCATATAACATATCAGAAGCATGTGCTGTCAGTGAATGAAACATCTACTTTTTCTCATCTTGTCCTCTACAAATTATAATAGCTTCATGAGGAATTGTCAAGTAGTGAGTGATAAGGACATGGATATTAAATGCTAAACAGAGGTCTATATTCATATATTCCCCCATCAAAAGAAAAGGTGCAAAGTATTTTTGTGTCCCTATAGTACCAGCAACAAAGGGTCCAAATGTCAAATCATTCAGGGAAAACAGATAAATAATAACCAAAATGGTCAGTTCTGGAACATCTGGTTGTATGTGTTTATTTTGGTAATAAAAGTACTAGAAAGAAGAAAAATTGGAGGAACTTGAAAATACAGGAATTCATTTTTTTTTCAAATGTGTTCCATGTAGCCTCAGCACTGCGATGAGTAATTTATATTCATTGTTTTTAATGATGAGGTAGATACTATTATACCCACTTTGTAAAAAAGTGAATTAGCTTTCCCATGGTCATATATGGAATAAAGGGGTAGAAATGGGAAAATAATTCTGAAAGGAAATGTTAAAATCAACAAAGTAGTCTTTTGCAAAGCTTATGCTACTATTTTATCATGGATTTCTATTTATCTATGTTAAAATATACCAACATTATTTTTTTAAAAAAAAATTCCTGACCCTTACCGATATCCTCTCTGGATAACTTGTAATTATTTTACATGTAATTATAAATT